TCAATTAGCAGAGCTGATTTCCAGGCACCAGGGATTCCCCAGTCTCCCTTTCCAGCCCAGTGAGAATTCATCACCTCCCAACCTGTTTCCTCAACAGCTGGCACCCCTCCTCCCGTCATCACACAGTATCTTCTTCTATCTGGTCTTCTATATGACTGCTTTACGTAGATCCCTCATTCTAGAAAATGTCCACTGAAATTGCAAACCTACTTTTTAAGTAACTTCTTTTCTTGCCTGAAATAAATTTAACAATATTTGTTACCTATTCGTAGATGAAGGCAATTCAGCCAAACTGCTCACAGATACACTGTCTAGTATGATTGTCCAGGCCACGTGTGGCTGTTCCAACTCAAATTAAAATGAAAGAAAAACAGGCTGGGCGTATGGCCCAGTGGTAAAGCCTGTTTTTCTTTGCTCAGTTCCATAAGCCAGACTGGAAATGCTCAAGGGTCCCCATTGACCAGCGGCTACTGAACTAGATGTACAAAAAGAGCTAGCCTATTGTCACAGGAAGTTCGCGGGACAGAACAGTTGCTCCAAAAAGACAACCCTTGGGTCCCAGGAACTGTGCACAGAAGCAGGAAAGATGGCTTTCCTTCTCATCACACAGGGCCAGCATCTCTTTAGGAGTACTAAAGAAGATAGTAGCTTTGGGGTGGAGCAAGAGCATACTACTCCATTCAGGGATGCCAGGTGCATAATAAGGAGCATTCATGCTCTCTCCACACTGTCAGATCTGAGGAGTCAGGAGGAGACAGGAATTGGCCAGGGTTAGGAATAGGAGCAGTACTTAGGAGGGTGGGAGAAAGAATAGGTCTCTTTTCACACTAAGTGGGTACTTGAGAAGAGGTCGCCATCCTGAGTCTTGTGTCCCTTCCAGGTACCTATCTATCAAACAATCAGGATACTGCAACCTTTAACTCCTGGCTTTTTTTCTACAGAGGATAGGTCTGGTTTCCAGGTCACATGAAAGCCAGACAAAGGTACCCCTACAAAGTGACAAACCTAAGTGGTCATGTATCAAGGCCGCAAAGAGCAGAGAATGAAGAATCATTCCAAATACAGGAGATTGCAGAGACATTGCAGGAGTCCTGAGGGAGGCCTTAATAGTGAGCGAGGAAGAGAAAAAGCAATGTGGGAAAAGGCTCACATTTGGGACTCTGGGTGAGGAATTTTTTTTTTTTTTGGTTTCCCTGTAGCCCCAGGTATCCTGGAACTCACTATGTAGACCAGGCTGGCCTTGAATTCACAGAGATCCACCAGTCACTGTCTCCTGAATGCTGGGATTAAAGGCCTGAGACACCAACCCGACATGAGGAATATTTTAAAAAACATTTTATTATTTTTTATGTGTCTGAATGCATTGCCTACATGTAGGTAGGTACACCGGTGTTGTGCAATGCCCTCAGAGGTCAAAAGAGGGTGTTGGATCCCTTGGAACTGGAGTTACAGGTGGTTGTTAACCACCATGTGGGTGCTGGGAACCAAACCTGGGTCCTCTGCAAGAGCAGTCAATGCTCTTAACAACTGAGCTATCTCTCTAGCCCCAAGGCTATTATTTTTGCATATTTTCTGTGTATTAGTATAAAACAAAGTTTTAAAAAGCAGATTACTTCAGAAATCTGGATTTTTGAGAACTAACCTCTACTGGTCCTCAGCCCTGTCACCTCTGCTGCCATGGTGTTCCAGAAGTTTCCTGGGTTACTGACACAGGAATACATAGCAAAGCTTCTCCAGCCCAGGGCCTCAGGACCCTCACTGGTCTGCCCTATGTTCTCTCTGGCTAGTGAATGTCTCTTTTTCTCACAGTTTCTGTACCTACTTGTTTCCATCTTTTAGAGTTCCTCTGTTTGGGGTAAAGGTATGCCTTAGGGGTAGAGCACTTACTTATCATGTATGAGGCCCTGAGCACAAGGAGGAAAACTGACTACTTTCTTCCAGGTGACTTTGGTATTGCTATACTAGATCAACTTTCAGAGGCAAAAAGGAAAGGCAGGTCTGGCCACCACATTTTAACAGCTTCATCTAGAAAAATCAATGTTTAGGAGCTATAGTTGTAGCTCAGCAACAGAGCGCTTGCATAGCATGCAAGAGCCCTGCATTTAATCTTTTAGTACACTGGAAAACAAATGCTCTTAACATGGCTGAAGAAACTGCACACTCCAAGTGGTAGTGAATTTACTTTTTTTTAATTCAGTATTTTGTAAATTTTTTATTTTTATTTTATGTGTATGCGTGTATTGCCTGCATGTATGTAAGTGCACCCGTGTCATGCAATGCCTGAGGAGGTCAGAAGAGGCTGTCGGATCCCCTGGGACTGGGGTTACGGACAGTTAGTAGCTGCCATGTGGGTGCTGGGATTCGAACCCAGGTCTTCTGCAAGAACAACCAGTGTTCTTAACCACTGATCCACGTCTCCAGCCCTGAATTTACTATTTGTAATATGAAAATAAAAGCAAGAATTTCTGACTTAATGTATTAATTCACTTGTGAAAGGTTCAATGCATTGAGTAAGTATGTGCTGTTTAGGTCTTCCCCTGCCCCTACTTAATTCTTTGTAAATAGTCTTCTATGAATGATTACTTTTGTTTAATTAGGGAAAAAAAAATCACTCTTGGATTAAACTTGCCTCAATTTGGATGTATTCTTTGCATAGCATCAAATGCCACATTAGCAGCAAATGTCCCAAGAATCGGTCTGAATTGCTTGAGATGAGCTAAGAGGGATGCTTCTAGCAGGTTTTAGGGTTAAGGAGATTTTATAGTAATAATGACTAATAATGTTATCTATCTGTCAAGCATTGTTTTTTTTCTTATGATCTAAAGAGCTTGATCACTGGTCTCCATAGCAAGTCCAGGCCAGCTGTGGCTACAGGTCTCGAAAAGAGCTTGATCACTACAAGAAAAAGGGCTTTGCTGCCTGGGAGCAAAGGAAATACAGCCATTTTGCTTGGTCGTCTTGCTGAGATTCCAACAGATCCTCTCCAACCTAGTACAGTCAGTTCCTCCTTTCCAATCCTCTTCTCATCCAGTGGGAAAGAACTGAGGGAGCAAAAATACTTTCTATTAGAACCATCCCAATCAGAAACAACTGGGTAGTCTATAAGGCCCAAGTCTTTGCCATCCACAGCTGTCCTAAAACTCCATTAAAGGCTCTGCCCTGACTGCTAAATCCACCTTGTCATATCCAGGTAACCAATGGTCAACAGGAATGCCAAACTGATTTGCTACTTCTGGCAACATTACTCACTTTACAGAGAACCACCATATGTGTGAGAGAGAGAGAGAGAGAGAGAGAGAGAGAGAGAGAGAGAGAGAACTAGGTAAGGTATATGTCCCCTGAGGGCAGAATGGTCAGGCTGACATCTACAGACTTCAGAGCTGGGCTCCTCTCCCAGGTCCCTAGTCTTAGAGAATGAGACACCTCGTTTCAGTACTTATCAAGAATCTCAATGGGGTCATTACAAGGTAAGAAGCAGAGGACAGAAATATTTTCTCTGCTCAAGGATTTAAAAAAAAAAAAAACACAAAACCCCCTGCAGATTCTGTCTTCTTAGAAAGCTGCTGGCAGCTCCTGCAGGTTACCCACCTCTGACTAAGCCTAAACAAGCAGTGGCTGGGACAGCATCTGCTGACAGTGTTTCTCTGCACCATGATATGCTTGCAGCCAGGGATGTACAGTTCCTGTGCTACCACACACATCTGATCACAAGTCTCTTCGTAGAAAAAGCTGGCCACTGGTGCACAGTGATCTTTCCCCACAACTGAAGATAAACATCCACTTCACTCCACAAAGGAGCTAGCATACTGACTATAATATTTAGTCCCTCTCTTTAGTTGTAACCTTACTGGAGGACTCTCCAAGGGCATACTAGGAGCATCTAACCACAGCCTCCACCTGGCCAGCCCAGCATCTGTTTACTTATTACTCTGCTTATGAAGCTATGTGTACTTTCTCTAAATAGCTGGGACAATGGTGGGTCTTGGCATTGCCACACTCTGCAAACCACACGCAAACCCTCTGTTCTTAGTTCTAGTCCGGCTTTCTATTAAATGGGAGGGCAGAAGCATCCTCACCTACATAGAACACCTGCTTATTCCTGGCAGAGCTCATTTTTTAAAGCTAGAAGGTTACAATTCTGCCTTAAGGCTGGCCACCTTCAATTTGTCCTTTAAGTTCTTTCTCATCCATAATCTTGACCATATTAAGCAGAGTCAAGGAAAAGAAAACCGCCTGAATCCTCTATCAGAACAATGAAGCGTGGTTATCAGGCACAAATCACAACTTCAGGGCTGGGTCAGGGAGCCCCAACATTCCAGACTTCTGAGAGACTGCCCATCCTTGCAGCAGTAAACCCAGAAGGAAGAGCTCACTCAGGCCAGGCGCCAAGGTCCAGTTCCCCCCTCAGTAAAATACCTGAGGTCACCCTGAGCTCTCTCACCTCCTAGGAGCTCATGCATAAAGAAGCTCGGTCAGGTGGTGCCTGAGCAACCCAATCCATAGACAGCAACACCTCAACAGACAATTGAGTCAAAAGCAAAACAAACCATAGTAAGAAGAAATGATTCAAGACAAACAGGCTTTTACCCTAATTTAAGAATCCCAAGTATCGAAAAGATTTTTAACTTCAATGGTAGTCTCTAAGACTGTGTCAAGTCAACGTCACTGAATCGGAAATTAACCTCATTTAAGACCATTTCCCAGCATAAACCGAAGAGCATCGCCTACTCTCATAATAGTAAAATTTCTGGACTTCCGAGATCAAGTAGGGCAACTCGCTCAAATGACTGAGGGAAAATCAAAATTTTGAGCGGGCGGCGGCAGCCAAGGTCACAGATGAGCAAGTATCGGGAGCCCAAGTGCCCGGGACTCTGCCTAGGCCGGGCTCTGGGTCCGAGCAGGCTGCAGGAGGCAGGCCGCCAGTACGCCGGGGCCGAGGCACGTCCGGCCGGCCTCATCATGCACTCCCACCTTCCCCATCCGCGGCGGGGCCCACGCACCTCTTCAGCCTGCTTGCGCAGCGCCTTCTCGCGTTCGTACTGCGTGAGCAGCTGCTCGTTGTCCTCGCGCAGGAGCTCCAGCTCCACCTCGTGTTCCTGGTTCTCGCTCAGCACCGAGTCCAGGTTCTCCAGCACGTTCACCACCAGCGGCATGAGCTCCTTGACCACCTCCTCGTCATAGCAGTGGATGAGGCGCTCGAACTCGCGGTAGATGGAGCCCGCCAGGCCCGACACGCGCTCCGACATCACGGATCCGGAGCAGTAGTCATCCTGGTACACCACCACGCCGCCGCCCTCGTCCATCTGGATCTCCATCATCGCGGCCGCCGCCGCCGCCGCCAAAGCGGCTCGCTCAGCAGCCTGGGTCCGCAGGCCTCTATCGCCTCAGGCAGCCGACACCAGACGCACAGCCACCCAGGCCGCGCCCGTCACTCGCTTGACGGAAGTCCCGCCTGCCTGCCCGGGTGCAGCCGCGCCCCGTCCTGCCCCGTCGCGTGCCGTGACGCCAGAGGAAGCGTGGCAGTGGTGCTTCCGGCTATTCTGGTGGACTAGCTTAGTTCCTGGTTCGCTGTCCATTTTCTCCCGGTTCCTTCAGCTCTTGCCGCCCCAGGAATTCGCGCGGTATGTGTGGTGTGTCCTCTTCCTGGCTGATTCCTACTCGGCTTCACCTGCAGTCCCGGGGACCTACGTGTGTCATCACTGAACTGTTTCAGCCAACTAATATAACTTAAATTGCTCCATTTTTCCAGAGCAGCCATTTCAAAAAGTGCCTTTTACCCTGCTTACGGAAAATACCTAGAAAGGAGGAGCAACTTTGAGTTCCAAGAAATGGCCTAACTGGAAAACCACAGGATGTTCTAATCTAGGCCTGCACTTGACTGCTTATCTGGCTTCTGTAAACTTGCTTCGCTTGTCCAAGCCCGCGCAATAACAGGTTGTTGATTGGTAAATTCAAAGTTTGCTGTGTTTGAATTTTGCTGTGTTGTGTAAACCTGATTGGCCCACAGATGTTCTGTTTGAGCAATGGTCTCTAATCCTATAAAAACTCTGGCTAATGTTCGGGGCTGCTTCTATTCCCGACTTATACAGCTTGGTCAGCTGAAATAAAAATTTACCTTTCAATTAAGTGC